TTTTACTAGATTTTGCTATAACATATATAGCCACTCCCTAGTAGATAATAGTGTGCATTCACTTCATAAGAATTTCACATTGTACAAGACAAGTGAGATTTCTAAAAATGTTTGGATAATCTAATAAAAAAATGAAACAGCAGGTTAGAGTTTGTGTGCTTGGCTCAAGAGAGACTTCCCAAGATTGATCATAATCATCTTGTTCATTCATTCATTTCATTAATATCAACAGTTTGTTGAAGCATTTCATTTTCTAGTTTCCATGGAAGTAAATGTTGGTGCAAAAGTATGAGTCATTCCATAATTTGTACCAATTGAAAACATTTGTACATGGTGGAGGAGTTTGAAGTGATTTAAGAGTATTTGTCTGTAATCTTGATTCTGTTTGTTGTTATCAAAATTTGGATATGAAATTTTTTATAGTGAGTTTAATAAGAATTTATTTATTGGAGTGAAATAAAAAGCCTGTTATTTTTTGTTTACTGTGAGAAGAGTGCAATTGAAATCAATGCTTTTAATTGCTAAATTAATTGCTTCATGTAATTCTGCAGTTGGGGAAGGTTCTGAATATTAATGTCAATGACAGAGAAAAAGAAAAAGAACTTTCTGAACAAACTAATTCCAGTGTATCTAAGACAATTGGGCAATTTCTGTACTGAGATCCAAAGCTTTCTACCGGAAATTGATGAATGAACTGTTAGAAAAAGACACAAATGTATCATGACATTTGGCTAAGTTGAGTTACAAAAATAGCTTTCCTTTGGTTAATTGCATTGGGCTAGGAAACAGGTGACAATTGGGAAAATAATATATTTTCAGATCTTCCAAAATACAATAAGACAATGGTGGAAAGGAAAAAAACCAATTCACTGTCTTCCTAAAGATCAAACAAAGGCTTTTGCATGGGATGGATTTTGTATTCATGGAGAAACATCACTTTTTGTTTAGGAATACCATGACTGGTGAATTTTACATTGAAATACTTTTAAAACATAATCTAGTAATTCAAAGAATGTTTGGAAACAACTAGAGATTTTGACAGGATAATGATCTCAAGCACACCAATCATGTTGTGCAAAAGAAAAATTCCCAGAAGTTATTGGTTGGTGATCAAACAGTCCAGGCTTTTAACTCCATCAAAAATCTATAATTTAACATTAAGAAAAATGTATGCCAAAAAATATTTGGGCGTGGAACAATTTTTAGTAGACGTGTGGGAAAAATATCCAATTAAGAACTACTATTTTCACGTGATATTCTTGTTACACGATGCATGATCATTTTTTCGAGTTTACCAATTTATAGTCTATAATAATAATGAATTTGCTAAAAGTCGAGTTTTATAATTTTGAGTAGACATGAATAAGGATTACAATCGAAGAAACAGAGATTTTTTAAAAAAAAGAAAATTTTATTTTATGTCAATCATTGCCCATGTATCAGCAGCAATTAATTATTTACTAATTTGTATACTTCATATTCTTCTAACAAATGAACTTGATCAGTATACTGATTTATAAGACTTAAATTATTTTCATTATAAGAAGTATTACTATGATAATCATAAGAACAATAAGGTGTATTATTAATGTTATTAAATAGTTCTAAATCGCAAAAAGATATTGATGTTTCAATAAATTGGTTATTTACAATAAAACTAAAATTTTGACTATTACGAATCATTGCCTTTTGAGGTTTCTTGACTCTACTTAAAATGGAATTGTTAAGTTGATTATTATCAATTTTAAAAATAAAACTTTTATCGGTTTCGATATAATAATTATCATCAGGAGATTTTCCTTTAACATTCCAAAAAACTGGATTATACCCACCAACCAATTCACCTGTTCTTTTAATTTTCATAATAGTTAAAGTTTGTTTAATGTCAAAACATTTATTCTCAAAAACCGATTTAGAGAATCCATCACGACTGCCACATAAAATTAATTTGAATTTATAAGGTATAATGTTTTCATTATAAAAATAATTACTTTTTTCATCGATCCAACTAGAAATTAAAATTTTCATTTGTATATTTAATAAATTTCCATATCCTGTTCTTGGACCTTTTTGAAGAATTAATGATCTGGGTTGCCATACATTATAAAAATAGCATTGATAAAGTTCTTCGTATATTTCTTTATCAAATACTTTCTCATAAGGTTTAATTTTGTTATAAAAATCATCTCTGGATATTTCTTTGAATCTTATCAATGGAATAATACTTTCTATTTTTTTTTTCAACTTAAAGAAATAGTCTTTACTCCTTACTGAAACAGTATAATCATCGTTTTCATTCATGTCTTCATCATCCTCTCTGTCTTCTTCGTCAATTCGCCCTATCCCCCATTGAATAACACAATCCCAAATATTAATTTCATCAAATTCTAAATCATCCCTTTTCAAGATGGATATAAGAATAGGTTTTTCAATCGTCTTGAAGTCATCAGATTTTAAAAATAATTCTGGAATATAGTCGATTAACTCCTTAAAATAATCCTGAAATAAAGTAAATGACTGATGAATTGATGAAATTTTATGAATAGAAATTAAATTCTGTAAAATCCATTCTTTTTTTTCGTTGATTAAGTAATTTTGTAAATCATCAATCAATTCATTAAATGTTAATTCATCACAGGTTTCGAGCAATTCAAAGACTTCATTTGCATCCAGGTCACCTATATTAACAATTCCATTATAAATATATCTTTAAAAAAAAAAAAATGAAAAAGGTTAACTATTTGAAGCAGATTGTTTAAAATTATAAATAATCCAATTATCTAATTAATAAAACTTAAAACCAATCTTACTTTAAAAGTACTTCAAATACTTTTGGAGAAATATTTTCTTTTTCAAACAAAATAATGTTCCTATCACCTTCTGATCTTTTTATCCAATTACTTGATAAAGCAACATTAAAATATGAAGACCTTGCTTTTAAAATTGTTGAATGAGCTTTAAAAACTTTAATGTCCTGACCAACTCCAATTTTAATTTCCACGTCATAAAAACTAGACTCATTCAACAATTTAGTAAGATCATTTACTAGTTTACCTATATATTTTAATGATAATGCATCCTCGTTGGAATTTGAATGTTCATGATTATTAAGTAAAGTATTATTAATGTTTTCTAATGATGATAAACAATCTAACATTTTGAAGGATAGTCTATTTTTATTTTTTAATGGTTGAAAGAAAAAAATTCGTAATGAAAAATTTTTTAGGGCACGTGTAATTAATTAACCAATTATGGACGAGCTTGGAAATTTGAATCAATATAAATTTAGTTAGACGTGTAATGCTGCACCATGCTACTGTTACTAAAGATCATGGTTACTACCAAAAGTAGGCAATATGAAAGAAGGATTTGTACAAAATACAAAATGATTTTTTTAATACAGTTTATAACCACCAACTAACTATTTGGTTAAAATTTTTTATTTTGGCAACTACTAAGGAAACCCTGCCGCAATTAAAAGAACGGCCGCAATTAGAATGCAGCCCCCCTGTAGTGATCATCCTTAGTATTAGCAACTATAACACATTTTTTGATGAAATATAGTCGCATCTAAACTATCCATCACTACTATAAAAATAATTCACGTTTGACTTACTGATTAATTTGTATGGTAAACTTCTGTTAATAATCGAGCTTGCAAAAGTAAGACTAATTTTTTATGCAATATAATTGATCACCGTTATTAGGAATTAGATGTAATATTTTTCTTTAAAGTCCTAGAAAAATGCAATTGATGCGACATAACTCTCTTTGCACTAGAGAATTTAATTAATGGAAGAAATTCACCTATTGGTTTTTTTCTCGAAATTAGCAAAATCATTCTTTGTCTGAGTGTTATCCAAACTTCCATTTCATCGACACATAATCAACATTTCCAAAAACTTATGCTAAAGATTTCGTTTTTATGGAATTTCAATTTGTAAATGATTATTTTTTATTTGGTTATAATGATTCTGAACTCGCAATCTCTAATACATTCTAAGGGTGTTCCACGGGAAATGTTCAGCTAACACCAATCTGTCATAAACGTTTATCACAAAGATGAGAAAGGGTTATATCAGCCGTACCAATGCATTAAACCTATTCCATAAGAACAATAATGTTTTGTTTTGATAGGACAAAATGGACAAATAGCAAAAATTCATCTAGAGAAATGCTTATGATAGTTATGTAATTTATTTAAATTTTTGAACAAGATCACAAGAAGTCGGAAACTGTTTGAAACAGCAAAGGTTTGATGATTATAATCACAGATAGTTTCAAATAATGTATAAACGACAAAGATAGAGAAAAATAAATTTAGTTTATGCTGTAAAAGCTTGCTATTAAAGGATGTCCGATACAATATTAATTATATACGTGTATGGTTTTTCTTTTCTTTATATTTTTAGTTGACAATTAAAGAAGCTAATAAATGGATTAATAATTCAAACCTTTGATAGAGCATTCACAGTATCATTGGACTACATTTGCCAATGACTTTATTGTTAAGGTTGCGATAAATTTTAATAAAAAAAAAAATATTTCTTGAAAATCGGCTCAACAATGGTTCCCTCAAAAAGAGTTTCTGAACTCTGCGTGAAGCTTTCCAAGCTCTCCCAAAACCAAAACAGGATGTATTATTCATTACGTGCCAAGTTCACAGAGACTTTCTTTGGTCTTGAAGAAAATAGCAATTTGAAGTTTATGTAACATGATGTTTTTCACAACTATATCTCTACAGGTTCCAAGAACAGAACTCACGATACTTGTTAAATAAAAGAAAAACTGCCAATCAAATCATTCATATTCAATGGTAAAAGATAATATATTATTTCCCGAACCGAACTAGCTCGTCTCCCTTTATAAAAATGATCTTCAATGGCCAATTAGATTACTTATTGGCACAAATAAATATATAAATAGATGATGAACCTCGTATAAAATATAAATATTTAATATTAATTTTTAAAGCGGTGACAAAAAAAATTTATATAAAAATGTCTGCTAGCGTTAATATCACCGACACCATAAAATGGACGTTTTCCAATACGTTTCCGTTACCGTATAGAGCATTGATGGTTTTGGTGATTGGCATATGGAGTTGGGGACTTAATTTACACATTCTTTCACTATATTCAATAGATGCTTCAGCAGTATTGTCAATAATCACGCAACATGAAAAACAGAATTACCATCATAAAACACAGCTATTATATAAAGCTATATACTCACTTGCAATAGTGTTTACAATATGGATTTCATTTAATTTAATTATATTTTGGCAAGTGACTGGCGGTTTACAAGCTAAAATTGTTGAATGGACTTCGATTCCTTTGGTTTGTTATGTGGTTGTTTTTTTTATTTTGTTATGTCCATTTAATATCTTTAGAAGAAAAGAAAGATTAAGATTTATAAAGTATGAATAATAATAAATAATAAATCAAATATAAGAAAATAATGATAATAATAATAAATTGATAATAATAAAAATTAATAATAATAAAAATAACAAAAACGATATAGCAAAGAAATTTTTTATATTATCATTTGATTTTATTAATCTAAAAAAATTTCTTTTTTTTTTTTTTTTAAATTTTTTATTTTAGGTGTATTAAAAGAGTGATATTTTCAGGATTTGGTTCAGAAGTTTATTTTTCAGATGTTATAATGGCAGATATTTTAACTAGTTTTGCCAAGGTTTTAGGAGATTTATATGTCACCGGATGTATTTTATTATTTTACGATGTTGAACAAAGTGGAGCTTCTGGTAATCGATGTTACAGTTATATAATTGCTCCTATGTTAACTAGGTAATTAATTATATATGATTATAATTATAATTGTTATTATTGTTGTTGTTAATAAAAAAAAAATTTTTTTTCTTCTTTGCTCTTCCCTCCCCCACCACAAACATAGCATACCATATATTATTAGATTTAGACAATGCTTAACAGAATATATTGGATCAGATTTTAATAATAAACATCATTTATTTAATGCAATTAAATATTGTTCAGCATTTCCAGTAATAATATTTTCAGCTTTACAAAAATTGTATAAATATGAAGCACTAACTGAATCATCAATAATATGGCTTCCTCCGCCAGTGTTACTTAAATTATGGTAAATAAATCATAAATAAAGCATTTGAAATATTTTTTATTATTTTTTTTTAATCATTCAACTCTTTTTTTTTCAAATCTTAAATTTGCAGGGTATTATCGGTTGCATTTAATTCAATTTATTCATTTTATTGGGATGTAGCAAAAGATTGGAATTTAGAATTTTTCACACCAACGCATCCAAAATCATATATACCAAGTTTTAAATTAAGGCAAAATTTAATATTTAAAGACCCAGTAATATATTATATTGCAATAATGATGGATTTTTTATTAAGGTTTACCTGGTCGTTAAAATTGTCATCACATCTACATATAATACATCAATTGGAGGGCGGCGTTTTCCTAATGGAGGTTTTAGAAGTTTTGAGACGTTGTCTATGGATATTTTTCAGATTTGAAAATGCATGGATTGAAAAATTTGTAATAGGGGAAAAAGGAGGAGGTGCAGGAATTTATGGACCGTTAAATTCAGCCGCTAAAACTAGTATGATAGAATTAAATAGTTTTGACGAAGATGGTATTAATAATAAAGAGTCAAGAGACGAGGTAATTATAGATTATTAAATAGTTGATTATTTATTAATTTTTATTTATTTAATTTAATCAACCAATTAAAACCTTTAGGAAATATTAGAATAAATAAATTTTGTATTTTAAATTTAATTTCATAAATAATATAATAGATGTAATTATTATTTCCATAGTCAATAATACTATATTTATAAATATAAACATATAAATAAATATTGTATACATACATAATGAAGGAAAAAAAGGCTGTCTTCGGTTAATTTATTAATTAGTTAATTTTGTTTATTTCTTTATAAGAGCAACAAGAAGACAAAAATAATGAAAAAGAGTTTATTTTGATTGATCTTACTGTTATTATTATAATTATCATTATTATGTTTGAGATGTTTGAGATAAGAACTAAACTGAAGAATTTCACCAAATTCGTATACACATGCATGCATGCATGTATGTATGTATGTATGTATGTATGTATGTATGCGATCCTTTTTTATTAAATTTAAATCTGATAGTAATTACCGCGAGTAAAAATACTCGGATACTTTACAAAGCTGTGATGGTAGGTTTATAAACCAAGGGTAGAGAGAGGTACTTTATTAAACACGCAAACATATGTCTGGGTTAGGCGCATATATGTGACAAATCATCAAAGCAAAATCCAAATTACATTATTTGACTTTCGCATTGTTGTAAATATGCAAGCTCGTTTCATTAATGGGGTTTCATATTAGACAATATTTAAGCTTTCGGACTTTTAAATCCGGCGGTTATTTTCCTATTTGTCATTCTGGAGAAATCTATCCGTCCTCGATTATGGAGATTACATAACGCACACTCAAAATCAACTTATGTTTTCGTTTTCATATTAATAAATTAAATACACATGATCAAAAATACTCCACAGTTGGCTTGCATTGGTATTGACCGGGTCAGCCATGAGGAGGAGAAGAATCAGCCAACAGATGAGAATAAATAGTGTTCAAATGATGGAGACCGATGTTGAAGTAATTAAGATGACTTGCATTACATATTCTTTGATCAACTGGATTTTTTAAGGTGCTATTAATTAATTAATATGGTAATTGGGCGGCAAAAAACATTCAATTTCCAATTTTTATTTTTAAGCACAATAAGGAATGTGTTGCGGTATTGTAATAGCATTTTTAGCAATAATCTATTTAAATTTTCGCCCGAACAATAATATCCGGATGAAAACATTTGGTTTTGATTAGGAAATTTTGAATTAATTTTCTTAACGCCAACCAAGTCTCATTTGGCAAGCAAAAATATCTCTTTCCGTCTCTGAAATTTTGTGCATTTTAATTTGAGTAATTCTCAATGATAACTTCTCGGACCAGGAGTACATGAAATTACAAAATTACGTCGATCAACATTAATCAATTATCCATTCTTTTGAATATTAATTATTGTCATAGGTTAGGTTATTAATTACATGCGAATATGATTGGTTCTAATTATAGACAAAAATGTCTAAATGTCTAAATGTCTAAATTAATATAAATAGTAATGATTTGCTTTAAATACAACTAAAAGTCACGTGATATTCGCAAAATCCACAAAATTCAGTAAACTATCCAAGAAAAAATTCAATTCAGCATTTTAGACAATTGAGACCATGATTGTCTAAAATGTCTAAAATAATTTATATTTTAGACATTGTCTAAATAATTTAGATTAGATACCCATCTATAGTTCTAATAAACATGTAACAGAAACTCATTTCAGAAGCGTGTTGTAACTGTGGGCTATTCATTAATGAGCCCAAAAGAAAATTTCTCGGCCTTTCAGAACTCTTTCTAAATCGGAATAAGATATCTTATTAATGACCCAGCTGATAGCAGATGCCTCAAGAAGAAAACTCGTATGTCAACAAGGGAACTATTTGTTATTGCTGAAATCACACAATGCACCACTTTATAAAAATAAAAAAATATATTGCAGGGGAATAAGTTGAAAATATTAATAATCATATTGATGTCTATACAAAGCAATAAAGAGAAAAAGGATAATATCATGATTACCTTACCACCTTCTCTTCTAGGATCTTTGTGATTATGCATTGGGTAGAAAAAATGTAATCCACAAAGATTCCACATAATGAAAAGGCATGGAAGATAACGATCCTTTTACAATCTTATTACAAAATTTTTACAATGGTATTACAAATACTAGTGAAATATTATGGAAGTTATTGTAAAAATATTGTAAAACGGTTGTTATGCTCAATGCCTTTTCATTATGTGGATTTTTGTGAATTACATTTTTTCTACCAGCGATGGTGGAAAAGGCTTTCGTTGAACACATCACATTTAAAGATCTTTTGGAGAATTCTTTCTAAGGAACAAAAAACGTCATGAATTTTCTTGAATTCTTTCTCCTTGTCAGGTATCAACGATCTCCTCAGCAATTAATCTCCTGAACTAACCAAAGCTAGAAAAATATTTAATGTTTTTTAGTGGCAGTTCTTTTTGGAGGATTGATAACAGATGTTGACCGTTTGAGAGAAAACGAAATGATTTTATTGGTTTGCCAACCAAACGTTATTATTAATCGAAGCTTTCTCTTTAATATTTTTTTGCTTTATTTGCACTAGCGAGAATGGCCAATCAAAAAAATCACCAAGATCATTATCATCGGTTTCTCCCTTAAAAGCGTGGGTGAGACGATATCCTGTATCTCAATTCCCACCAAATATTTCTCTTAATGCTCTAATGGTAACAATGCTAGGTCCTACCACTAATACTAATGAGGTGTTATAAAATAGAAATTAACGGACCACTTGCAAATCATTTGCTGAAAATACTCAAATGTTGTGTTAATTACCTTCTTTAAACGGAAATAAGTTATAAACTGGGTTCCAAGATCGTCATTATTATTATTTTACATATAAATGTCACAAAACATCAACCATTATGTTTGAAGAATTTTTATTTTATTACTACAAATGGTGATCAGCAAAATTAAGAAATTTCTCAGTCGAATTCATTTAAAATTGTTTCATTGATTAGAAGTACACGCGCGTATATACATATGAAAAAATAAATGTATGTAATAAAACAATAACAACAACAACAACAACAACAACAATAATAATAATCAAATTAACCGAATTATTTTAAAGTTGTTAAATTAAGTGTAATCGGATATAATAAACTGAAAAACTAGACAAAAAATCAATTACTATTCCATATAATTAATATTAAATTAATTAATTTTTTTTATGCAGTGAAACATTCATCATCAATCTGGTAATTTAACAGCATGCATATTATACACATTATTATATTTAATTATATATAAATATTAGTCTCAAAAAAATAAAATTTTTAAAAAAAAACAAAAAAAGAATTTTAAATTTTTTTTACAAACCTTTTATTTTTCTTCTTTCCCTTTTCATCTCTCATCCATCCACCTTTGTTAACAACATTCTGTAATGCGACATTCATTCTCTTAATATATCATTAATATCATAGTAGAATCGTCACTCCTTTATTTATATATATAGATATATACATACATTCATATATATATATATATATATACTCTCTCCTGGCGAGATAAAATTTAAAAAATATTTTGTTTTTCGCACACACACACACAAGATATTTTTTTAAAATCATTAGAGAACTTGAAGAAAAATTTAATAAATTTATAATTCATATAACCAATTTCATCATCATGAAAGATTTAACAATAATTTCAATAATTTCATCAAAATTAACAGAAATCAAAACTAATTTTGATATAAGTACACATTGCATTGATATATCAACAGCAAATACATGTCTGAATGAACTTGAACCATGGACGCAATCATTACTCCATATGGTTTGTGGACTTAGCATCTGTTTATTTTGTTATGTTGCTTGTAGACCGATAGGTGGATCAATCTTGTCAAAAAATTTATCGAATCACTACGATTATAGTTGTGCTCAATTCTAGGGATTCTTCTTTTCGCACATTATATTTTAAATTTTTTTTTTTTTTGTAATTTTAAATTCATTTTAAAAGCATTTAATTGTAAATAACATAACAATAATAATAATAATAGTAATAATAATATTAGATATGATTGTATTTTTTTCTTATTAACAAAATCATTCTTCCGCTTCCCCTAATATTTTAATTAATAACGTAATATAAATGGTAATCCAAGAACAATCCTGTAATTGTGTAACATTGGGTAAATATATATATCTATCAATACACACGGGTTGGGTATAATTTACATGTAGAAGAGAGAAGGAAGAAAAAAGACTTGTAAAATATATATATTTTAAAACTATTTTTATTCTTTCTATAATTAATTAAATAATTTCTTAATGTACAATTTTTTTACTTGATTAGAACTCACAATTTTACATACTATATATATATACACGCATACAAAATATATAATATAATCACCATTACATTTTCCACTTTCTCTTTCTTCTTTGCTACATAGATAGATATATAGATGGGTGTTGGCGGGTTTGTCAAATATAGAAAATAATATAATACTAAAATTATATGTTGCAAAGCTTTTTGTAAAATTATTATTCCAATTTGGCAAAAAAAAATCCTATTAAAAAAATGATATTTCTTTAGTGATTCAAATCAATTTATAGCATAAAGTCTTTATTAAACATCATAAATAATGCAATCAGTACCCCTGCACGTTCATCATAGAAAAAATTGCTTTTTTCTGTGTATAATAACGCGAATTTCATCATTTTGCACAATAATTAATTATATAATAATTTTTATATTTATATTTACCTTCATCTTGATGGGTTTCTTTTCTTATTTGTGTCACAACAATAATCAGATAGAAGATTTAGAGAGTAATAAATAGGCAAGAAAGAATCCATTGATTATCTATTTTATTTCCACCACCCCCACAATAATGATGATAATTTTTTAAGATTTTCTTCATTCTTCTTTCTCACTTCTTCTTTTCTTTTTTGTTTTTTTTCCAAATGTTTTTCTTTTTCAATTTGATATTTATTCCATTCCTCGGTAATAACCTCCCAATCTTTATCCTCTTGCAACCGTTGTTGCTCGTAATTATTATTATCATTATTATCATTATTATTACTATTATTGGATTTTGGTGTATATCGAGGTATTATTATCTTCATTTTATCATGAAATTCCTGTAACTTTTTCATTTAGATGATGATGACGATGATGATGATATTTATTTAATGTAAAATTGGTATTAAGAAATGAAATCATTATTATTAATGAGAAATCAAAATAAAATAAATAAATAAACATCAACTAATTACATTATTGACTTTTAACCAAGATCCAATTCCAATTGTTAATAAACCAGCCGTTGATAAACAAAGAATTGTTCCTAAAGCAAAAGTTTTCAGAGTAAATAAAGTTGCTATTCTATATCTTGCAAACTCGTCCAATTCTGCCATTTTTTTAGGTGTAAGGTCTTTATATGTTCCTTTTGATTCTTTTAATCATCCAATAAAAAAATAAAAATCGTAGTCATGATATGTGTGATGTGTGTGTGTGTGTGTGTCAGAAAGTGTAGAGAAAAAAATTTTTTTTAATGTTTTTACCTGCACGTTTAATTGCCCATAATGCACCAAGAAAGCCTGTTAGAAAAGAAGTAGCCCCAATATTTACGATAAGTTTATTAGCATCAAATGACTCTTTCTGAGAAGCATCAATAAAATTGTTATTGTTTTTTTTTTGAGTATTAGAGTTTATCGAAGACATTTTTTTTATTGCTCAAAATAAAAAAAAAAGGTAAATTTTATTTGATAGAGATCTGCATGAATTCTTTCTAATCTCCATTTATTTATATTCATCAAAAATGAAAGAAATATTTTGGATTCGAAGCAAATACATTCGATAACATTAGGATCAATTGTCGTACAAGTTTTGTCGTTAATGATTATAGTTGTAAAGGACGTGACAGAAATGAAAAGGTCAAAAGGGTAGTTTCAGGGATTAGTAACTAGAGATTTATAATCAATATAATATTCTTTGATCGAATTAGTATTAAATGTCATTGCTTTTGGACCAATGAATCATTTTATTAGATATCAACATTGGTACATTCGAATATTTGATGCTTGCGTGGTTGTTACCACATTTTTATTAGATATGCTGTTAAGAGGTAAAGGAATGGACATTGCCGAATTTTGGTTTTGTTTAGGTTATGGAAAGTTACAAAGTCGTTGACAGTTGTGACGGTCAATGTTAGTGAGATTGAAGAGGAAAAAACTGATCGATTGGAGAATGTGGTCAAGAGATTGAGATTGGGAATTGATAATGTTAGCAGGATGGATGGGATGAAAATAGACGTTCGATGAACAATTCGGATTTAGATTCAAAAATTTCCAATCGTCAATAAATAATTGCAAAATAACATTAATATTCACACACATATCAATTTATTATTATCATTATTATTATAATTATGATTTTTTGCGATTTGATCGAATGATGTGCGTATAAAAAAATCTAATTACAAAAGTAATTTGACATTTTTAATTGTTATATAAAGGAAAAACTTTTTAAAACATCCATAATTTGATATTTTGCAAAAAAATATTTTATGAATTAAATTTTCCTGTAATTTTTTTCGAAAAAAGAAAATAAAGTCAATAAAAAATTATTTAAACGCAACAACACCAACAACAGCAACAACAACAGCGATGCTTATTGGTATTATATTGTTATAAACCGATTAAATTGATTACCACGATTTAATTTTTCTTTAAAACTTCTCTCAATCTTTCGACTTCACTCTCTAAATGAATAACTTGTTCACGTAACTGATTGTGGCAAAAACGAAACTTGTCACGAGAACGTCTTGCAGCCAAACGATTCCTTTCACGTTTTCTTTCAAGCCTATATTCATCGTCTGTTCGTCGTAATCGATTCGAAGGTTTCCTTTTGTTGATGCCGTTATTATTATTATTATTATTATTATTATTATTATTATTATTATTATTATTATTATTATTATTACTATTATTATTATTATTATTATTATTATTATTATTATTATTATTTAAGATTTTATCATTAGTATTTTTCTTTGCATTATTGTTATAATTAAAAACACTATCATCATCATTTGAAAGGATTGCAGATACAGACATTGGATTTGGTTTAGTAACAGATGATGATGAATATGGCAAATTATATGATGATGCATTATTATTAGATGAGGATGATTGAGAAAAGGTTTGAGTGTAAGGTATAATAGTAGTAGCTGCTATCGCTGATGATACAGTTGCTGTTGTTTGTAACCTCGATACTCCTAAGGATTCAAGAGGTGGCAATTCATATCTTAATAAAGATGATTGGTGTTGTTGATTTTGTTGATTGCTTTGTGGTGCTAGTATTGATGATTGATCAAACACAATAGGATTTTTAGGATTCAATGTAGATAATGATGTTAATGGAGGTAAATTCCATGAACCGATGTTTTCAAATTGTGGTGTTTGTAAAGTATTCATTGGTGGTGGTAATGTAATCTTGGGCCTTTTAGAACGTGTTTCAGAGTTATTTAGAGTTTGTTGATTTTGTTCATCGTTCAAATGATCCTCTGAAATATGCCGTTTTTGAGAAGAATGATCCATAATTTGAAAAAAAAATTTTACGTAAAATTTGTAAAATTTGAAATAAATTATTTTTTGTGTTTAATAAGTTTGACTAAAATAGAAATTTGAATTAAGATCGCCATTGCAGCTATTACTATTACATTTCCCCAAAAAATTTTAGAAATGCCTCGTCATAGCAAAAATAATACAGCACTTTCGTTTTTCACATATGCTGAAACTAAATCCTTAGAATATGGGACAAAAAAGGTATATATATACTTTAATAGCGCATTTTGCAATCTAAATAATCATAATAAATTTCCATTAATTTTTCTTAGCAACGATTAGGAAGAGATTCAATGCGTGAAGTTGATGCTTGTTATCTATGCCTTCAGAGAGCTCGTGATCCTGTTTGTTGTTCACATGGTCATTTATATTGTAAAGAATGTATATTAGAAAATATTTTGGCACAAAAAAAAGAAATACTACGTCAACAAAAATTATTGGAAGAAAGGGCAAAAGATGAGATCGAAGAAGTCAAACGAAAGGATGGACTGGCTAAAGAAGCCATTATACAAGATTTTGAAAGGCAACAAGTAAAAATAACCCCAAGTGAATTTAAACAAGACACGAAAACTCTTGAAAACAAATCTTTATCATCATCGTCATTATCGTCATTATCGTCATCATCACCATCGTCATTAATAAAATTGATTGAAGATAATAAATCTAAAGGTAGAATTTATTTATTTAAAAATGTTTTTTATGATATAATTTATATGATATTAATACAAGTATAAATATTATAGTTGCAAGTAAAAAAAGAAGTTTTCAATTAGATGAAGAAGATCTTGCAGCGGTATCAAAACGTGAAAAAGAAGAAGCATTAAAAAAAATAGAGGAAGAAGAGGTTTCGAAATAAATAATAATAATAATAATTAATAATTAATTGTAATAATATTTATATTTATTTATTTAACAAGTCATTTGTTTTAGATTGCATTGTCAAAACCAAAGTTACCTAATTTTTGGCTGGTAAGGTTCCTTTTTATATTATTTCTTAATTTTTTAAGAAATCAATTAATTATTGTTATTGTTATTATTATTATCATTATATTATTTACGATTTTATAAAAAAGCCTTCTTTAACACCATCGGCTGATCCTGATAAAATTAAATCTATAAAATTACAAACAATGTGTACTGCAACTAATCCGGAACACTCTTTAAGGTATTTATTTGTTGATTATTTTTATGGGCTTTGCAATTTTATTAATAAAAATTTTTTAATAGTGTTAAAAATTTGGTTGCGACAAAATTTACTGAAACAAAAGACTCAGATTCAAAAAAGATTCATTATATTTGTCCATCATGTCGTAAAACATTAACAAATTCTTTAAAGATTTGTTGTGAGTTTTTTATTTCAAATATTTATATTTATATTAATATTTATTATGTTTAAATACCGGATCAAACGCTTACTATTTATATTAATAATTATTAGTGATAAAACCTTGTGGTCATGTTATTTGTAAGATTTGCGTTGATAAATTTGTGAAAAAATCAAAACGTTGCTTTGTTTGTGATTTTAAATGTAAAGAAAAAGATATCACTGACATGTCTGGTGAAGGTAAAAGAAAGTCATATTTTTTATTTTGATAATTATTAATCAATTAATTGACATTTTATTTAATTTTTTTTAGGTACTGGATTCTCAAGTGGCGGTGGAAAAGTTTATGCTGAGAAATTTGATGTAGCTTTTCAATAAATATTTTTAATAATAATAAATTAATAATAATAATAAAGTGAACAAATGAATTTCATGTAGTACACTGGCGATCTTGATCCATCAGTAATCTGAAAACATAAACTCATGCTGAGCCTTGACTTGTTTGATTTGTTTTACTTTGACTTTTATTTAGCGTGACCAGTATTTAGGCTCTTACACATTTAAATATTTTAGTTACTTTTTTAAGCTAGTGATAATTAAATCCTCGTTTATTGCTTTCAGCTTTCATCCTTTTGCTGGCTATCTTCACTTTTTTTAATTTGTTGATTCTATTTTCCTCTTAGAGGAAATTTTGACATTCATCGCTTATTAATACCACAAGACAAAAAATCAAAGCAAAGAAGAAATAAAGAATTTGAAGGAGGCAGTGGGTAAGTATTTAATCATAAGAATGGTGGTTATCGTCACTCTAGCTATTTAGAAAGAATGACTCATCATTCTGGTTATTGTTATAATTGCTATTACTTTTTAACTCATTTTATGACAAATTGTTTAATCACTTTGACAGCAAGGATAATGCACGTTTGTTTGACGGTGCTCTTCCACTTGGTATTGGCCTATTACTATATATATAAATTGATAAAATTTTAATAATATTTATATTAATTGATTCAATTGATATTAGATCGAGAGAAAAATGTCACCAAAAAGGTAGTTATTATTATGTTTATTTTATGTAACTTCCGTGTTGGTACATGCATGAATATTTACAATTTAATATATTGTACTATTACTATTGCTATGACTTTTAGTGATGTTAGCCGGCCAATAATCTGCATACATAATCCCTAAATTTGGTAATAGATTTCCGCGTTACCTTCTGGTTATAGAAATAAAATTACCAATTTAGGTAGTAAAAGGCTTAGCCGGCTAACATCACTACTATGACTCTGATTCTAAAGGGAATGAATATATTATATTAGAGATCAAAAATTACCTAATCCTTTTCAGATGAATGTAATAATGCTTCAACAGAACCTATTTCTGATTATTCAAACAATTCGGCCAATTTAGGAACACCACAACATTCTTGCACACAATAATTGAAGAATCCCCAACTATAATTGATGTAAATAATATTTAATGATGAGATTTCAGATCAAGAAAATATGGATAAGTTGGTAAATGAAGAGTGAATAATTGGCAGTGACGGAAAAAATATTTCTGAATTAGTTAAAAATGGAAAAATGAAAAAAAAGTCCTCATAACGAGTAAAAAAGTTTTTAAATAAACATTAATTTTGTGAGTTTAGCATTTTACAATATTGATATTACACCAAATCAAATAACGATGACATATCCCACATCAGGGTTGGCAAATGTGTGGTCCATTGATGGTCTATTGGTAGTCCATTGGGTCCATTAGTGTAGCACTATAACCATATTTAGTATTTTATTAATGGCAATGGACCAGTCCAAATCCATCCATTCTCGATGGACCAGTCAATTTGCCAACCCTGTCCCACGCCAATTAATATTAACAAAGACAATAATATTAAACAACTAATTATAGAAATGGTGAAGGTATATAAAGAAGAACTTCATTACTATCATTGACTGGACTTTGAAAATATCTAATTAAAGTCTTTCATTATAGGAAACTTATTTTAAAAAATCTGTCAATGAAAAATTTCCTTTAATGATACAAAAGAATTCATATGGGATTATGCTTATCAATTGTAAGTATATTCTTGTTTGATCTCAGTTTTCAGTATAAGAAAATAATAAGAGATTTAGAATAGTAAAAAATATTGTAAAAAAGAAAATAATAATCAATAAAAATCTATCTTCTATAAAATAACCCTCTGGGTATCTAACACATATTTATTGAAAAACTTTACCTTTAAAAACCAATATATATTTTTTTAATTTAGAATTTCAAATTTCCAAATTTCCAAATTTAGTCAGAACCATGATTGTCAAAATGAAATAAACCTATTACTATTTCGTGTATGCTATTATCTGTTATAAAACAATAACTGTTCATTTAAAAATAGTAAAACACTTTGAGAATTAACTTGTCTTTATTTCTGGTAGATGTATAGTGTTTAAATGACGGATAGAGGGACGTTCATGATATATGGAAACTCTGGCATCCAAGGATGTATTTTGCAATAGTATTTTTAATAGGAACTCGGATAAGGTTTTGGAACTGCAACTCTGTGTGGATGGTTCTTCATAAAAGCTTACTATCATGTATTAGTCGTAGAGTTGCCGTTCTTAATAAAGAATTAATTATTGCTAATAAACAAAACTTATAATTTCCTTTTTAAGCAAAAAACTAAAGTTTATATGAAAAATGTTGCATTGTTCATTCCTTACATAAATAAATAAATAAATAAATAAATACATGATAAAAATAGTTTTAAAAATCAAACGTTTTCTTTACAAGTAAAGCATCAATTACAGCAAGAATTGTCCATTTTCTATTTTCAGCTTCTTGAAATACAACTGAATTTGAAGAGTAAAACACCTATAAAAAATATGTATAAGTTAAAGATGCTTTTAATAAATTATGCTATATATAATAAATACCTCATCAGACACTTCTTCTTGTTTTCTAGGTAAGCAATGCAAAAATTTCCAATTAGATTTTGCTCCACCTTCTTTTGCTAATTGTGAAGTTACTTTATATCCAGCAAAATCTTTTATACGTTGTGCTTTCTCTGTTTCTTGACCCATACTGATCCTAATTTAGAGAAAAAATCAGATATAAATAGAGTATCGATAAATGCAACCAACAAAAATAGACCAATTAAATCAATAGATTTTACCAAGTATCAGTAACAATAGCATCAGCACCTTTAACAGCAATCTTTGGGTCGTTTGTAAATATCAATTCTGATTTTGTTTCTTCTGCTTCTTTTTTGGCTATCTCTACAACTTTTTCATCTGGTTTGTAATTATCTGGTGTTGCAATGGATAAATTTATACCTAATTTTGGAAAGGTTACCAACATACTATGAAGTATATTATTGCCATCACCGACCCATGCAACTTTAAGACCTGGCAATGTTTTGTTTGGATGAGTTGCATGAGCCACATATGGTGATAAGGATGTTGGTTGAGGTCCCAATACTTCATGAATAGTCATTAAATCAGCCAATATTTGAGTTGGATGGTACTTATCCGATAATGCATTAATTATTGGTACAGTGGAGTATTTTGCTAACGTCTTTATAATTATTTATGTATACATATGAATTGTTAATTTTTTATCTTGTAATATAAATTATAATTATTTAATAGTATCAACTGTGTTACCTCAATCTCACTATGAGATCCGACACGTGCCATAATACCATCCACCATACTGCTGACAACTTTTGTTGTATCTATCAATGATTCATTTACTCCTAACTGAATATCTTGTGATCCTAAAAACATTGGTTGTCCACCTTTTTAAAAATTTATTAAATAAAATCTACGATTAATTATCAATGCGATAAATAATTATTTAAAATTCATAAATGAATTGAACAACAACTACCAAGATAATTAATGGCAGTTTCAGTAGCAACTCTGGTTCTTGTAGATCTTTTAGAAAACATGATTGCTAAAGTTTTACTCTCTAAAGGACGCCCTGAACTTTTGTTTAAATATTTGACATTGTATTTATGCTGCAATGCTAAAGTCAATAAATTATAAATCTCTTTTGCTGTCAAGTGTTCATGAGTTAAATAATGAGGTGTTCCGAGTGGTGCTGGTGCTAGTAACGGATATTCTGTAAGGTTTATTGAGTAACCTTTTGTTGTCGTCGTTGAAAATTGATTTTTTAAATGGCTACTGGGACATAAATTAAAGGCAATGGGAACAAATCGTTTGTTATATGGTGATAATATACAATTTTTAGAAATACGGTATAAATTTGTTTGCATTTTTAAAAATTTTACAAAAAAATTTTTGAATAAATTCGAGAGGAACCAAATTCTATATTAATATATATAATTAATGTTTATGATTAGATTAAATTTTTTCGATAATCTAAAGATTTTTTTAAAATAGATAAAATTTTGTGTTATTATTATTATCAAAGAAAACTATCTTGAAATTCACGTGAAATTAAATCTTTTATTCAAAACTACTAAAACAACAATATCTTTAGATAAAAGATTGATTAATTTAAAATTTAAACATTAATAATTATTTTATGATATAAATCTGCACAAAGGTTATATATATATATATTGAAGGAAGAGTCGCTTTTATAAAAAAAAAAAGACCCATATAAAATTTTAAAACTTAAGATAAAGTTTATAAACTAATATTAATCAATATTCATTTATATATATATATATATATATGCATAAAATAAAGCAACCAACTAAATCAACCATGATGAATCCTCTCAATGAAGTAGAATCATCAAGCAGATTTTGCTAATACAGAACCAGTTACCAAATATGTATTACAAGAAGGGAGAATTTTCATGACATCTTTAACTGCCAATTTCGTGTTTTTTTAGTGATTCATCAAATTTTGCTTCCTTAACATAATCTTTAGGTAAGTTTGTTGTTTCGTCACATTCAAAGTCGACATTGATATCGGTATTAACGTTATTACCACCACTACTATTATTGTTGACTCCATCCTTAACAGAAACACGACTCTCCAATATCCTCTTTTTGCTTGAATTGTAATTACCATGTGAAGCTAAAGGACTACCTTCCTGTTGTTCATTTTGATTTTCAAGATTACGCTTCATCATATTAATATTAATAGTAAGATCAGAAGAATGCTTTGGAGTTAGAAGGGTTGATGGAATGGCTATCTTGGTCATAAGAGGTATTATTTGATTTTGAACATTTGTAGTGACAAAATTGCTTGTGCTTTTTCGCCTAGCTTCAACAAATACAAAATATTTACTGAATTGTACCAAAAAACAATCTACTGCTTTCAATGAAAGCAAGTATTTACCAGGCAATGCTTTTAATTGGTCATCAATCATATATTTCATGATGAGAAGTCGCTGTGTGCCAGGTTGAGATTTGGTATAGTAATAAAAGTAAGGAAGTACTTTGTCAACTACATTGAACATTGGTTTTAATAAATCTAATTTTTCATGAATTATTGCTTTTTCTTCATCAGTAAGATAGGTAATTTCAGGGCATTGAATTCTTTTTTTACGGGCCCTAGCATCAAGTTCTCTAATAACATCAAGAATAGCAGCAGCTTCTTCTGGTTTAATTGTCTCAATTGTATTACCATTTGATGAATTGTTATTATCGTTTTCACTTTTTAGAGTTGATGTATTGATTTGAGCAACAGGCGAAGAAATTGTCCTTGATGTAGATTGATTATGGTTTGGAATAGCAATATTGATGTTGGTGATGTTATCATTATTTTTTGATTGCTGAACAATTCTTTGATCAGCTCGTGTTTGTGTATGCATTGGTAAATTGGGAGTATTCAATTGAAGATTTAAGGCTGGCCTGACTGATGATGTAGGATTATTTTGTTGATTTGTAATGTTCATGGTATTTTGGTTGTTATTGCTATTATTAAATAAATCTAAATGAAAAATTTGTATTTGTGATACAAAAAATTCCCCTTATATACTTATATTATAATGAATGATGTTAGTTAAATTTTTAAAATAATAAAACTATAAATGGGACAAACCTCTTCTTCAGACAGCAAAAATGTTGAGGATACTCATACTTGTCAATATTTTCGTAATTTAGCTCACACTGAAGCTCAAAAACGGAATGAGTGTTATTCTCAGTCACAAGATGCTTACAAAAATCGACAAGGCGGAAAAGCAAAAAAACTTTCCTTACAGGGAAAAGAACACGAGAGGAAAATGCAAGAATACAACAATAAAGCTGCTGAAATTATATTTCTTGGTGAAAAATTTAAAAAAATTTCTTTCATAAATTTTCAAACAAATAAAATGTTCATTTATTTATTTAAATTTTTTGATGGGGAAAAAATATATTCTTGAATTTCAAAAAGAAAACAATAAAGATCGTCCAATAACAGAACTTGATTTACATGGATTGTTTGTGAAAGAAGCCGTTGAAAAAACTAAATTACGTATAGAACAATGTGAACTAAAAGGTGTTAGTTATTTAGTCATAATTGTTGGTAAAGGTAAACATTCGATAAACGGTATCAGCAAACTACGGCCTGCCGTTCTTGAACTTATTAAGAAACACAATTTACGATGTACACCAAATAAGCCAACTGATGGCTGTTTACATGTAGAAATTGGTAGTTCTGATGGTGCTAGTCAAGATCTCAATTGGTTTCAGTCATTATTTGGTATTAAGGATAACAATAGTTGTATTATATGTTAATATTTATTTATTATGGGTAATAATAATCTTATTTTTGATACCTAATTATTATCGATTCCTACTTTATTAATTAATTTTATAAAGTCTATATATTATATTTATTTATTCTAATTTATTATACATGTATGTATTTTTGTGTATATATATATATATATATATTCATTTATGCTTTCTAGAGAAAATAACCTATTTCGTTAATAATATTAATAATAAATTACAGATTACTCTTAATTGATACAACACTTTTCTTAAAGATGCTAAACCAATAGTTGTTATTGGTTTTTCTGTTTGAATATATTTGGTGCTTTTTTTTTTCATCATCATCATCATCATCATCATCATTATTAAATGAGTAAATGATATAGCTTACTTAATGTGAAAAATCCAAGATATCTGACTGGGAAACCAAGATCTCACTTCCATTTGTGATAGCAAGCTTGACTCTTCAAATAATAAACACGAACCTTCTAATAATTAATCAAAAAATACGTCATATCCGTTCATTTTTTTTACACCTCTTGCATGATTAAATATATAATAAATATCAATCAATGAAATCATCTCTCCAAAATATTCTCTCTAATAGTTCTACTAACTTGACATGCTAATTGATTCATTATGATATATTAATCCTGCTGAATCTCCAAATAATTTTAATTAAAATTTATTTTTATTTAAAAATAATTGATAATAATAAACTTGAAATGGATCATTTAGAATAAAAATTCATACTAATTCTCCACTATGACAGATTCAAATCTGATGTTGATGTTGATTGTTAATCTTTCTATTTTTTCTACAAAAAAAAAGAAAATCTTTTCAGATTGTTAAATATATAGCCCATAAATCTTATTCCTCCATTCTTAGTCTTTCATAGACATTGCAATTTTCAATTTATCATAAAGACGATTGCGTTATTAGGACCAAATCAATATTAGTAAGTAATAGTTCCTTTTTAGGGTCACACAATGTAAAAGTCTATATCTGTGATAGTTCCAAATTGGCCAATAAGATTTGAATTATAATCCGGGGTCCTAGGAGAATAATGAATGAGTAATGCCGATCACGTTACACTCCTTCGTTAATAAAATGTTAACAAAGATCAGCAAAACTTAAAAAATTTTTTTAAAAAGAAATGAATTCTAATGGAATTATAAAATCAAGAGTAATATTTTTACATTTTCTTGATAAGGTAAGTAAATTTTTCTTGTTAGCGATAAATATAAATGATATCTTTCTAATACACATATATATTAGACAAGAACATGGCTTGCAATACTTGCAGGAATAGTACTTGGCTATTTTCGTGATTTCCATACTATATATACAATTGCAGGAGGAACTTTTGTCACAATAATTAGTAATTATTAATTAATTTAAATGATTTTTGATCGAATTTCTTGCGACTTTTGTTTCTTACTTTATTTGCTAATTTTTTTTTTTTCAAGCTAATATTTTAAAACTTATATTTCGTCAACCTCGACCATATAAAGATAAATATGGTACAAAAACATCATTAATAACATCCAAAGAAAAACTAGATTATGGAATGCCATCATCACATTCATCAATCACAATATTTTTTGCCACTTTTATAACATTACAACTGTTTTCATCTAATTTAAATTACTTTATAATAATTTCATCAAGCTCAATAATTTATTTTACAGCTTTATCAGTTGTTTGGTCAAGAGTAATTATTGGTCATCATACAAAGTCTCAAGTTATAGTTGGAATGTTATTGGGCTTAATTTGTGGCATTTTATGGAATAATTTGTGGTGGAATTTTGTAAAACCTTTGTCAATTGAATTGAATTTAAATGGTAAAATAGGCTGGAAAGAAATAGAAATCATCATAAATATAATAATCTCTAGCTTTAAATTTTAATATTAATGTGTGGCAATGATCTACATTCTGCATATTACACACATATTCAAGTAATAATAAAATAAATATAAATAGTTACACTGTTTCATTTTCATTTCTTATTAGTGTTGCAATAAATTCTTTAGATTTGTGAAAGGGATTCCGTTTAATGAATGGAACCACTACAAATACAAACTTTAGTCCTCGACCCTCAAAATCAAGAAGTAATTACTTATTTTGAAAACCTCTCTGAAATTTATTGGAGGGCTGGTCAATATTATGAAACGGTATTTGCCCTTCAAACCTTATACAGGTTTAACAAAAATGTCGGTGATTCCATCATCAAGAAGTTAGCTTACTACCATATGCATATTGGTGAAATGGAAAAGTCAAAACTGAATTATGAAAAAGCTCTATGTCACTATAAAGAGGCAAATAATTTAAGACGCGGAGATCCTGCTATTATGGTCACTCTCTCTCAAGCATTGATTGCTGTTTGTGATTGGAAAGAGCGTGGCGGAATTGGTTATATTCATGTAGATCCTATTTCTAGACAGCTGATTCGGTCAATTCAATTTCAACGAACTGGTTACATGGGGATAATTTCAAATCTTGTTGATGGCTTCATTTATAATGGTTCTAAATATGGAGCTGGCGTGATAAAAATGAATGGTGGTGTTGAACATCTTATAAATGTTTTGGGTTGGGGAGTTCATGATTCAGATGAAGCGTTGAAATTTCTTAGGGAAAAAATAAAAGGTTGGAAAAGAAGTCTGCAATTACCATGTGAAGGCGGTTGGCTTTTAAGAGTTATTCAGCAGTTTATGCGTCGTATACAGCGTCGATGGTATTTAGACACTTATGGATACTGTTATGGAAGTTTTAGAGCTTTGCCAAAAATAAAAGTCACGCCTATTGATTGTATAAAATATGTTCGTCCTAAAGTTCCTAAACAATTACCAAGACCGGAGGAAGTGCCAATAGTTCCATTCTACACTTTTTCATACGAATTATCACCGAAACAAGTTCGTCTAGTATCACATCGTACAGCCTTAATAACGGCCTATGACGTCTGTACATCGTCATGGCTTGACGATTGTGTTTATCCACCACCGCCACCACCAGCTCCTAGACTTAAAATTGGATATATTTCATCAGACTTTAGAAATCATCCATTAGCTCATTTGATGCAATCAGTTTTTAATCTTCACGATAAAAACAAATATCAAATATATTGCTACTCTTTGACAGATAGCGACGGATCAATTTACAGAGCCAGAATCGAGCAAGGATCTGATTTTTTTTACGATTGTTCAAAGATGACAGATCAACAGATTGTACAACAAATAGTTTATGACGGTATTCATGTTTTAGTAAATCTGAATGGTTATACAGCAGGTGAACATAATAAGATTTTTGCAGCTCGCCCTGTACCTGTGCAAATAAGTTATATGGGTTATTGTGGGACAATGGGTGGAATGTGGACTGATTACTCGATTTTAGATGAAGTGGTTTGTCCTGAAGACATGATAGGTTTATATCATTACAAAATGGGAAGAAAGAATATAGGTGATTTATATCAAGAACTTGACCCAGAAGTTGAAGATGATGATTGGATATACTGTGAAAAAGTGATCAGGTTTGAAAAGGGTAGCTATTTTGTCAACGACCACAGACAAAATTTTAGAGATGATGAACATTTAAAGGGAATAAATGATCCACAATTAAAGTTATTATTTGAAGAGCATAGAAGATTGCAACTACGAGCTATGCTATTTCCTTTAATTCCTCTAGATTGGGTGATATTTGCAAATTTTAATCAATGTTATAAATTTGATCCATTGACATTCAAATCTTGGATAGAAATACTTGAAAAAGTTCCAAAATCAATACTTTGGCTTCTTAAATTCCCCAAATTGGGTGCTTCAAACCTTAAAGAGCTTGCAAGAGAATGGGCAGGTCAATATGTTGCTGATCGGATAATAGTTACTGGTAATTAACTAAAAAATTCTTTAACTTTTATTTAATTAGATAGTTGATCAATTTATAATATTATTTATTAATTTCAATATAATAGATGTTGCATCAAAAGAAGAACATGTATTACGTTGTCGAGTTGCAGATTTAGTATTAGATTCACCTGTTGTAAATGGACATACTACTACCTGTGATATACTGTGGTCAGGAACACCTGTATTGACCGTAAAAGGTCCCTCTCATAAACAATGTTCACGAGTATCTGAATCAATTATTACTGCTGCTGGATTTGAAGAAAAACTTGTGGCAAATGATTTACTAGATTACATAGACAAAGCAGTGACATATTCATCATCTCACAGAATAAAGTTTTGGACTGGTTCAACTTATGTTTTTGACGGAATTTTAGCTCAATTAAGAAAAGAACTTTTTCTTAAAAGAGATACTATGGACCTCTTTAACACTAAAAGTATTGTGAGATCTTTAGAAGACGCTTACGATGAAGCATGGCAAAATTGGGTGGATGGAAATGATTAATTTACTTTATTGATGAGATGAATGGTTAATTTATTATTTTTAAAATAATCAAAAAAAAATGCATCAGCTTTATAAAGTTATTTGCAATTTGACATTTAAAGTGATGAGAGAGATAGTTTAAAGGATTGAGGCTGTTTTTTTCTTTTTTTTTTTGGCTATCAAGCATTATATTTTTAATGGGATTTTTTTATTTTAGAGGAATCTATCTGGTTTAATTTTGATACTTAGAAAAATTATGGATTAAATTAATATAAATATTTAGAACTTTGAATTTTATTTTAGAACTATAACATCATAAAATATTCTTTAAAGTATTTTCTTTTTTTTTAAAAAAAAAAACCAAATATAATTAATACTTATTATTTATTGTTCCTTTTAAAAATATTTTATATATATAAGTGAGGCCACCATAACAATTCTGTTTCAACAAAAAAAAAAACAAGGTTGATTGATGATTATTGAGTGATGCTTGAAGGTAGAATGGATGATGATGATATTTTATTATCAATATTGATTAAACAGTTAAAAAAGATGTACTTGGAATACAAATGGAATTTATATGTGTGTGGCGTGTATGTGTGTATGTATGTGTATGTGCATGCATGGTGATAACAGAGGAAGAATCTGATATCCGAAAAATTTGAGTAATCATTAATTAACAAACTAATATTTATTTATTTTTTCTTTGCATGCTAGTCAAACTTCTTTCCATTACAGCAATTTCCATTATATGATCTTCGCAATAGCATTACAAACTTGCACATAATCAAAGACTGTTATATATATTTTTTAATTTAATATATACATTTTCTGAGAATTGTTGTCAACACTGTTTTTAATTTTTGATATTAAAAATAAAATTTTAGCCAGGGTTGATCAATAACCAATTGCAAAAGATCAATAACGAAGTAACGTTGGTTGGTGGTAAGTTTTATTATCATTAAAAATGATATGAATATTATGTATAAAATTGCTAATCCTCATATTCTATAAATAATATTTTGTTATAGATGAGAAGAATCAACATGACAAATTTAAATCGAAAATTGTATCGAAAAGGTTTGTTTTTTTTTTTTGAATTTTTGTTGGTTTAAAAGATAATAAATTTTTGGCAACGACGAACATGCGCGTTATTATTATAAAAAATTCTAATTACATTCACAAAGAAAAAAACAATGTAATGATGATAAATGTGACCAATGTTGATGGATACGCTTTAAAACATTAAATTATAAAATAATAACACCCAAGAAAAATTTTCCCAACTTGAGGACATAGATAGGTAGTCCTTTTTTGGTAAGTTGGCGACAAAATTACAGATTTTCTATAGTAATAGAGCCTTAATAAAAAAAAAAAAGTAAATATTACGCGAGTGATCACCTGACGTTGTCGATTTTCAAGTTAATTTTTTGGTAATTTTATTAATTTTACCTTATCTATAAATTTTTTTCTGTGAGTACATCTTGTACTCATTCCTATTAGAGCTTAAGATTTCCAAAATTTGAGCATTTTGATTCTTAGTTGCTTGAAATTATCTTTAAAATTTTCTTGTCGTTAGCTTCTTGCGATAAAGTTTGATTGTTGTTTGCCAATAATTGTATTTGGTAATAAATTCATCCTCTTCAACAATCGCTTGCCTGTAGTAGTACAGTGATAATAACCTGCCAGAACTGGAGAAATAAAAACAACACTAGCTTGAATATTTTGATGTACCATATTTTTTAAAACTGGTCGCTGGGGGGAACTGTTGTTCTCTCTAAATAAGAACACATTTTTCAACCTCAAGAGCTTTATTCATTTGATTGATGCTCACGGATTTTATCCAAAATGTATTTTTGAATAGCCATTGTTGATATTCGGTTATGACATTCATTCACTTGATCAAATTCATATGAGGTTACTATGGACTAACCTTTTGCTTGGCAAGAACTAATAAAACCAATGTAAGTTCACACATGAGGGTTCCTTGAGTTTTAAGCCAGTCAAAAAATAAATAAATAAGAGAGTCTGATGATGATATTGAAACTCCATATATATTTCTTTTCAATTTAAAAACCGATGGTTATATAATACGATATTTGTTGTTCCTGTTATTTGTCGCTTATTTTTGTCGATCGACATACACACATATATAAATATACAGTGCAAATCACTTAGTCCCACAACTTTTTATTGGTCGTGTAGATTTTCAAATTCTCCAAAAATGGAAATGCAACACCCAAAAATAAATCGTGTATTTGAAGCCAAGACCTTCCTCTGCAAAATCACGATTTCATCTCATTGGTATGTCATGTTGTTGTGGAGAATTTGAGCTTCAAAGTTGCACAAGTTTACCGAATTTACTATGTTTTAGCCCTGAAATGGCGTGTTACACACAAAAAAGTTAATATCAAAAATAGGCGAATTGAAAGAAAATAAAAATAAAAATTTTTTTTTATATTGCTGATCTTTTATCACGTGAATTTCCCAGACATGAATCAAAAAAGAATTTTACAACAAACAAAAATCATGTGACCATAAAATTTTTATTGCATTTTTGATTGGGAATTTTTCCCAAAATTGGCGGTGTGGCGCAGAAAGTTGTGGGACTAAGTGACTTGCACTATACCTTTTGCTAGAAAACCCCCCATATATATATATGTAATTTTCTAAAAAAAAATTTTTTTAAAAATGGTGATTGATGACAAACAAAATTATTTTATGTGGATTAGATTTGAATGAGCAATCTTACTGACAAATAGTTTTGGGTATTTATTTAATTATTTGAGTGTTAATTGTTATTTTCTTTTATTCAAAAGAATTGTTTTGAAGGTAGGTTGTTTATACATTTTGATTAATTAATGTTATTAACATAATAATAATAATAATAAATAATAGATCATTGTTATTAACATTTGTAAATCTATTGTTTTAAATATACAATATATGTGATTATTTTATGATAATTGTTTTATGTAAATTCCCCTCCTATATAAATTTATTTTGTTTTCAAATTGCGTAATGATCATCAAACCAATAAAATTTAATTTTTGCATGATATATTGAGGTGTGCGACATTCTATATAAGAAAATCAAAACTAATTTCATATATGGGGACTGTTCTAGGAAAACACGGGTTAGAGCTCCCAGATTCAAAAATGAGAAATTTATACCAAATTAATCTATAA